TAATAATATTAGCTTTATCTCTTACCTAAGAAGTATCGATGGGTTTGCCAGGTATAGAAGATCTCATGTAAAAGAAGTTGCACACAAGTATACCTTATGAACGCTAAATATAGCTTTCTCGGAATAAGATTGTAGTATCTATAGTTAAAAAAGTCTCGGTTCCGAAAAAAAGGAACCGTCTACAGAACTGCGGTTCCGGTTCCCGACGAAGAACCGAAAACAACAGAACCGCGGTTCCCGTTCCATTCTTAGAACCGGTAGCACGGTTTCGGTTCCCGATGAAGAACCGAAAGCAAGAGAACCGCGGTTCCGGTTCTTAACGAGAACCGAACATCCCTACTGGTGATACAGTCTATAATTATTAGCGTGTAATACAGAATGATAGTGGTCACTAGGAAAAAAAATTGTTATACCTCGCCTTAGTGTCCACGTGCAGGGCAGGGCAGTGCAGAAGTTTCCACCCTCAACCTCTGCCTGTGCAGAACAAAAGATTTTTTTGGTAACCTGCAAACTGCAACGCGGATAAATTTTATTTTGCCCCTGCGCGGTATCGCGCAGGGATGAAAAATTATGCAGGTGATCAGCTCTGTTTCGGAATAATTCTCTATAACCAAAGATAGACAAGCTGAAGTTACTTGAAGATTTTTGACAGACTTGGGCCTCTTCTCTGCACTCTTATTTTTCTTGGCGCAGACTATGAGGCAAAAAAGCAGACAGATGTAAACGATGAGCGTATATTTTAAAATTTTCATTACAAACACTAATTACTTGCTAAGAAAATTTTTATCGGATTGAGATATGAAAAGCCATGCCCATCCATATCACTGACTATTGTGACCAATTATGAATTCCTCACCTCGTTATTTCTTTCTTTTCGGTTCTATATGTACGTAATGATTCCAAAGTCATGCCTATCCCATATGTTATTTTAGCCGTACTGTTTTTCAAGAAAGCGCCACATTCACAAGTATATTGCAACTCTGCGATTATATTTGTACGCGAATCAGAGAGAAATTTACTTGAAGATTCAACTGAGTTTTTCTCTCTTCTCTTTCTTATTGTATTCATTCTTTTTTATGAATAAATAATATGTTTATTATATCTACAGCTTTTATTCCCACAGTTGAATGATATTGATTTGTACATATGTTTATTTTATTCATTATTTAACAAAAAAGAAATTCCTTTCATTTTGAAACTATCAAGTTTTTATTGATTCATTGTTAAAAGAAGGTCATTATAAAATCCATGTGTAAAACAGGCGGCAATCTATTTAAAAGTGTATCTAAAATTGATGGTTAAATAATCACAAATCAAACTTCTTGTAAGGAAAAATTTGATAAACACCTCTATGATTTCAAATATTTCAGAATATGTCGAAAAGATAGAAATCTGCATAAACTTTGATTATAAGGTATAAAATCAAACAACATTAACTAAGGTCATATAATAAAAAAAAGTCGAGTTCTTAATCTTTTATTCGGGTAGAAATACAAAGAAACTCTAACAATAGTTTGAAATAATGAAAATAATAGAAGAAAGATAAAATGTTGTTATGATAGAAAAAAAATGTTTATACGATCATATTAACTTTACAAGATTAACTCATGGAATATTTTTCGGAATCTAATGTTCGAGCGACCGTGCTCAATTTAAAAATGTTTAACAGGAAGAGTAACAGTGCACTAAATTTGAACATATGAACTTTTTTTTATTGAAAAATTCGATTTTGAACAATAATTAAAAAGTATCCTTTACATGCTTTTAATTACTGAGAAAAACTGTGGAAAAAATGAGTTATTAATGCGTGTGATCGCGAAAAATTGATCATATTTTTACATTATAACATATTCAATTTAACTTATTTTTTTATCTAGATAAGCTAATACCCGCCCGCTCGTATGTGATTCTTTTATTTATATTATATTCATTTTTTTTTTTGACAAAAGAATCTTGTTTCTCACCTGTGAAACTTCTAATTTTAACGCATTATATCAAGTTCTGAAAATATTTCATGCAAAACAAGTCACAATGTCAAACTTGACATTTTTTTCGTCCCATACATATGCACTCTCTCACGATGTGTTAGATCAGATAACCAAATGATATAGGAAACGTGGAACAAATAATATGCCTGCTGGGATTAACAAAATAATATTTGCACATACAAGCATCAATTCATATAAAAAAGATGTTTATGTCTGCTTAGAGGAGTTTCCAAATGTAAATTACTTATCGATCTTATACTATGGCATATTTATAGCTAATCATCACCAACATCATGTATTTTTCAATCAATGAATACGATGATGAGAAGGGAGGAACACGTTGAAGAATTCTATCAAGTTGATATTTTGTCTGTCGGTATGAGTGTGAGTGCTTGTGTCTGCATGTTATTACTGTTAGAAAAAAAAGAGAGAAGAGAAAGAATACGAAAATCATTTGCATAAATTGAAGTTGTATTTTCTTTTTATTTATAAATATTTAAATTTCAATAACTCTTTCCATTTTATAAAACACAATGAAAAAGTTGTATGTATTGTAGCAGTCACATAGAGGTGAACAGTGTAATTAATTTTGTATTGAATAGTAAAAACAGTAACATTGCATATGTACAATCTCTTTTTCTTTTTCTCTCTCTCTCTCCCTCTTTATTTCAAATGCCTGACATATTGAAGGCAGTCAAATACAATTAGTCAATGAAAAATGATTTTATGAGTATTGTCTAGTTTTTATCATTGCATGAGATTTGACTAGATTCAGAGAATATATTTAGTAATGTTATTTTATTGCTGACTCTTCGAGGCTACAATTCCTTCCAAATGCGCTTCGTTTTGCATCCATGTTTTTCAATCGAATTTTTTATAGAGTGTTGTTTCGATAAAGACATACATATTGTTTGTGATAAAAAGCGAAGATATTTCAAATAATTTATCCAATGAAAATCTGACTCCATTCTAATATCAACGTTTTTTAATCATTATCTTAATACTATTTGAAATATTTATCTACTGAAAGTAAATATAATCTCCATTTTGTGTATTTAGATAAAAGAGATGTATAATGAAGAAAAAAGATGATATCTACGCATTTAACATACAAAAGTCAAAATTCATAGTTTCTTCTTCTTTGAACAAAATAATTGTTCTGATAATGAGACATAGATGAACAAAATGCACAACAAAATAATAGACATACATAGTTATTTAAATAGTCTTTCTTCTTTTTTTTTTTTCTTTCATTTTGTACGTATATATATAGATTCAATAGACAAAAGAGGAAAAAGAGGAACTATATGTAAACTGAAACGTATGGTATGTGCATGTGTTCGAACTAATAATGTTAAAATAGCAGATATATAAGGACCACATATTTATAGTTTCTATGAGTTGTGTACGTTGTATTGGTTAAATGATCATAGACAGTATGTATTTAACATGGATTTATTTTGTTTTAAAAAATAAGTTATGGATCAATACAATCTCAGTTAATTATTGTGTTAAAAATCATAATATTTTTCTTCTTCTTCATATTTTTTCTTTTATTTTACAAGATGGACCTTCGAAGACAATATTATTATCTAACATTAGACGACTACTCTACAGTTTATCATTTAATTATCTAATGTTGTGAGCGATTATATACACAAAAGTGATATATGTATTTTTTAGTACAGTTGATGATATAAGGGTCAACAAAAAGAAAATAAATCAGATTGTACAGTTTATAATAGCCAGTGACGTGAAATAATCATCAAAACCATTTTCTTACTTTCTACTAACACAGTTAATGATGGTTACTCAAACATAATAATAAAAAACAAAAATAGATTACAATCGACTCTACTCAGAATTTCTAAAAACTATTTAATTTACGTTTAACAACAGTTCTATCAATTTTACGCCACGAGTTTCCTTGCTCGATACTTATTGATATATCACTTCAATTATATATTTGAATATTAAGTAGAACATTCATAAGGTTAAGGTTAGACTACACACTATATATTTGTTTTAGATAAATGAGATTATTAATTTTGTGTTATACATTGTAGATAAATTGACAACTGGATGTTCCTTTTAATATTACCATTTTCTGTTAATAATAACAACCTTCAAAAACCAAAAATATGGTAGGTCAACCACAAACAAGTTTACTTGTCACTGTCAAACGTACAAATGAACAACGATCAGTTGTTGAAATATGTTATCCAAAAAAATATACAAATCAATATTATAATAATGAACGTTATTTAAATGATTTTCCTAATATTACCGCTGATAATCAAAAAATTCAAAAAATTCGAACGTTTCAACCAAAAAGTACCTATTACAATAGTAATAGAGCACGACAGTATAATAAAAACAACAGTCATATGCACCGTTTAAATTATTATCAAAATAATTCATGGAAAAATAATGATAATCGATCAATGTATACAAATAACTTTAATGAATCATCATTGTTAAAACCTGTACCACTCATGGATATAAAAGAAAACATAATGCCGTCAGATTATTATGTTCCCTATTATTGGCATAAATCGGATAATTTCCGACAATCGAATAAAACAAAGTCAAAGTACAATAATCGAGAACAACAACAAAATGAACAACAAAAAACGAATAAAACAAAGTCAAAGTACAATAATCGAGAACAACAACAAAATGAACAACAAAAAACGAATAAAACAACATCATTGTCTGCAAAATATACTAGAGCCGATCTAGATTGGGATTATTACGATTTTGAACACGATCTACCAGTACTCATTTAGAACACGTACACTTATTGTTATAGAGAGAATTCAAAAGTTCAGCTTCAAAAGCATCAAATGAAAATAATGTCGACAATCGTTTAATTTCTAGGAACTAAAACGGTTCAATTTTAATGAACGCAAATAACATGTATCTGTATCTAAACAAAATCGTACTATTTTCTTCGTATAGCACAGCTCCGATATAAGCACAGCTCGTCTTATCTCTGATATAAGCAATTAACAAAAACTAAATATTATTAGTTACATTCAAATGTTCTGTTTACAAATGTACCATACAACCCATTCTATTTTGTTATCTGTTAAAAATAAATAATACGTCATTTTCTTCTTCTGTTCACATCATTTGCGACTTTTCGATATGACCAAAACCTATTACATTGTAATGGAAATATTTTTATTTTGCTACTATAAATCATAAGATGCTGCAAACGCAAATAACAATTAAAGACAATGAAAATTAGATGGTAATTACATATAAAGACGATTTCTGTGTTACTGTGGGATAGTAAAGCGTTTTTTTTTTGGGTGGGCTTAGTTTTATAAAACTTCTCTGGTATCTGTGAGTGTTATTCAGTGTGGTATACTTTGTCAGATATAACTAATTCATGAGATTTATATGTTAGGTATTCATAGTTGGCATAAACTAATGATGCAATTACGCAGTAAATAAAATCACAACGAATAAAGTAATGTTAGGAGATCTGTATCGTGTGTAAGATACTTTATCAAACGTTCCTTTAAAGATAATTAACAATGAGAAGTGATGATTTGATAAAGATGTAAGTTATTGTATAAAAATTGAAAGAATATTTTTGTGTCCCAATATCTGTAAATACGCTGGAAGTCGTTCATATATTGTGTGATGTAAAAAACAACTAGAAATGAATAGCAAGTTACTTCCTTATGAGTAATCGTCGCTTATAAAACATTTTACAAATATAAATAGTATCATATCGCTTCAAAATAAACGTTTTAAAGCTGGATTATTGAGTATAATAACTCAGAGTTGTAACCGATTCGATCCGGCCGGTTTTTACTGGTTTAAAGAAATTTTTTAGTGTTAAAACTCCCCCTAGGTCCTTCAGGATTAAGCCATAAAATAAATTTTACAATTTTCTAGACATACAATTTTTTTAATAAAATATGTGGAGAGCAATTTTAAGTTCTTTTATCAAAGATAAACGTATTGTTACAAAAAATATCAATCTTATTTTCTTCAATTTGTCAAAATTTTTCATTTTCTTAATCGAACTTTTTTCAACTTCCTGAAAAGCTCAATGGGAACAGTGTCACTTGAGAAAAACGTCTCAACTTATCTTAATGTTTGTTAGACAGCAGAGTTAAGGCGAGACCGCCATTCAAAGAGAAATATTAGCATTTTGTATAAAATCTAAGTGAAAAAATTTAAGATTTGCAGATTACCAATCGAGTGGCAGGTAGATGGCTGTTTTTACTCACGAGAGAAACATCGCATATTCATCTCTGAGAAAACTTACAGATATGAACGACTGTAGCATCATATTTGTTCTCGAGTATTAATAAAAACGTGATTATGGAATAAGAAAATGGGTGTTTTTTGAAGCATCTGGTTTTAACCTGTCGGTTAGGTCATTTACTAAATGACCTAACATATCGGTCAGTTGTTGCCGGTTTTTACCGGTCTGAAAAGTTTTTTGAAGCGGCCGGACCAGACAGGTCTAAAGCAGGGATGCGACGAAAGAAAAAAAGTGGCGGGGGTGCAATAGTGAAGATCAGCGTCATATGATCTTATTTCTGGTAGTCGGTTTTTCAAACGAGCACTCTGAAAAACTAACAATTTTTGATAGTTTTGTTCTAAACCTATGCATATAATCTTCTCAACATAATCTAATGCATCAATCTACAGAAAGATCATTTATTCGTATTTTAGTTTATAATGTTATAATATTATCGAATAGTTGTTCTAATTTTCCATATTTTCTCTTCTTTCAAAAAAACGTGAGAGGGTGCGCACCCTCGGTAAAGCAGTAATGAATCAACTGGTAAACTTCCCATAAATAAATAAGATTCAAAAAATGTTATTTTGCCCTCAGTCATACAAATAGTGATACACAGAAAGATATTTGACCAAATATGTGACATATTTAAGAAAAATTAAATATAAGTACAGTAAAATATCAGACACTTTTTTCTAAATTAAATCCATTGTTGCCAATTAACCAAGTTTTGAGTACATTGATCCGATTTACCATTCGGTTCTCCTTTGATCAAGTTTTTCTGTTAAGCTTTCGATTGTAGAATACTGACACAGCATCCAATAAGCAATATTTTGTATTAATAAATTAAAATCCACATTTCAAATTTTTCGATATGCTACAAAATAAAGAAATATTGAATATGACAAAAAAACAGTAGACGAAATGTTTATATTTTGAAAATCGATAAGTTCATTATGAATGATTAGTGAAGTTAACTTTAAATTAAATGTCTGAAGAAAATACGGAATTAACGGTTTAAGAATCTATAGATACATAGTGTAGCATTACCTACAGCTTGTCTGTCCGTTATATATTTTAATTTGACTTCATTTGTTACATTCTCTGGGTCCCAATCAACATTTTTCTCAAGTTGATCATTAACTATATACTGGTGATATTTAAATGTACGAAAAAGTTCAATGTCAAAGTTGAAATAATCGTCTAAATACGAACGTAGTAAATACGAATATGTGCTGGTTGAATTGTGAAGAAAATTTGGAGTAATGTTTATGTTTAAAATTTTTAGTTTTCTTTATCTTGGTAAATAACGGATGCGGCAAAAATAATGATTCCATCAACATCTTACATTATTCTCGCATCTCTTAGATCTCCTAGATCTTATCCTTTTCTCAAAAGATTCACTTCGAAAATAAAACAACCCAAACTCGAAACATAAAGTTTTGGTGGCTCAGAATAAATGAGCCACTTTTGTTCTTTGTTTCTGAGACACTTCCCAGTAGTCCAAAGAGTTGGCTCCAGGCTCATTCGATAGAGAATGGAATTCTCTACAAACCTGCTATCTAAATTTCTGATAGCATTTTTCTCCTTTGAGCACCATTCAAAATAATGAATGACGCTGTGTTGCCGAACTGCGATCCACTGAAAACATTGATTTTGTTACAGAATTCGAAAGAGTTACAAGACGGCTGATGAATCTGTTTGATATCTTATACGTCCAGTCAGGAAATTTCAAAGAGTTGTTTTGAATGTAAGAAGTTTATCTTTTTTTACTATTAAATATTTTTATCAAACTCTTTACAGATTTTTGTAGAAAATTGAATAGCGAATCTTTTGAGAAAAAGATAAAATTCAGAAGATCTAAGAGATGCGAGAATAATGTAAAAAATACTAATGGTACCGTTATTTCTGCCAAGCCCGTTACATATCACGTTGATTATTTTCGTTATTATTAAGTTGAAGTGATTGTCCAATTCTTCCGATAATTTACGCTTACTGATAATCCTGTTGCTATCCACTGAGCTGATCATGCAGTGGTATTCTCAAATAGTAAAAATGTCAAAAGCCTTTAGCAATCACAATTCAATATGATAACTTTAAAGTCCACGCACGTCAAGATGAAAAAATATGCATAACGATGTAAATTTGTTCTTCTTGTACAATAAAATATAGTTTATTTCGAAATCTATACTCGTCTTTGTAATCATGGCACTGTACTTCTTCTGCTTTTTGCAATTGTTTCAATTGAGCCACCAAAACTTTAATTGTAAATAGAAGCAGCAGTTATTTTTAGTAAATAAATAATATTTCATATTATATCAACGTATAACAACATTATTCACAAAATATTCGTAACATTTTGAATAACGAAAACAGCGGAATGTCAATGTAAAGCGAAACATAAAACTTCTTAGAAGTCGATATTATTTGCCCTAAGCTATAATATACATTTAGCCGCTGTTTGATAAAAAAAAAAAACAGAACAAAATATGATTTACATACTTAAAATAGAGATTTTAAAAAAATTTCGTCGTTACATATTGAGATTCAAATTGATACATGCACATGGGCTCTAACTAGATATTAAAAAAAAGAGAATAAATGACTTTTAAGTTAAGAATATGTTCCATTTGCAATAAATTTTAATACATCGACTAATAAATATGGTTGTGTACGTTCTAATTGTTTCCATTGTTCTGTTTGAAACACGTCTTTACTATATGTTTTAATGAATGTCAATATATTATCTTTTAACAACTTTGAATTATAAATGTTTGCACGTATCAACATTTCAGCAGCCGTTTCATAGGTAATTGAATTGATAAGTGATTTAATACAAACATTTCTTAAATTTTCAATGGCATATTTGTCAGCTACGTAGAGTAAATCTAACGCATTTTGATCTAAATATTTAATATCATTATAATAGATGTATCTTAACATTTCTTCGATAATATCATCTGATATATCATTAATTTCAATAATATTTGTTTGTTTTTCTAACATGTCAATGCTAAACATTCGTTCAAATACTTCACTACATGATGCAAGTATACAACGATGAACATTAAATTCTTTTGAACCAACTTTAATTTTAACATCGGAAAATTTTCCTGTACGTAACAATTCACGAGTCATTAATTGATTATTGTTAACCGGATAAAAATCTAAACAAAAAGACATTAAAAATAAATAAAGAAAAGCAGAGCATAATAAATTAAAACTGCAAGTAAAATGGATTGTTAATGTTAAATTCGTATCATTTTTGTATATAAATACTTTAAATAGAGTTTTAATCTATTAGCTGATTTTCAACTATATTCTCTGTTCCGAAACGTCTGTTATCAAACTATTTCTTTTACCATTATCTGCTATTGACATTGTATCATTCAATGGACAATAATCTAATACATTCAAACATAATTTTGGATTTTGTTGTCCAAATAGAACAATTCGTACGAAAAATACTAGACACGGACTACTATTGTATTGTTGTGTACAGTCACTTAGATCTTTTGATGAAAATGGATCAAACTGGAATATATCCACAGGATCAAGAACATCACTCATCTTCAATAGACGTGTAGAAAAATTTGCACGAACAAAAAATTCTAAGCGAAAACGATAAGGTAAACGTAGACGAGTTTTCAGTGTCAAACGATATAACATAATAATCATATTTTGTTCTCGCTCTAACGATAAACATAGTTGAAAACAATTATTTAAATTGATAAAACGTCGATCTAATTTATGTTCGAATGTAAATATTGATGATTCTAGACATTCGTCTTCATAACATAATTTTGTTTTCGTATTAAAATCATCAATTGTCCATTGATACGTATAAGAGTGTTCATCAATCGCTGTCCCATTTCTCACTTTAATTAGCCTTAGATCATCGCATAGCGACGCGTCTAACATTGGACGAATTTGCAATGTAATAATAAGCGAAGGACAGGATAAGAGGCGATCACGTGAAGAAGAGATATATGATTTAAGAAAATTGGAGATAACATAATTTCGTTTGATATCAAATGATTCTGATGGATCACAATAGAATGTTGCATTAGACCATGTATATTTATAAATTTCTTCACTATTATATTCACATGTCACACTAACTTCAGCTTTGATTGTGCGAAGTTTTGGTTTGATCATAAATATGTAAAATTTAACAAATATACTATTGCGTTCACAATAAGATGGATATAAACGCATTTGCCAACTAAAATAGAAAAAAAATTGAATAATTTTGCACAGATAAGAGTTTATTAATAACTTCTTTCTTAAGGATTAAAACTCAGTTGTATAAACATATTGTCTCAGACTAGTAATTGAGCTCAGATAGCATAGTGAAACGTTAATCAAGAATTAGGCTCGGAGACTAAGTAACATTAGATGAAACTGCAGTGCAATCATCTTAAACGACTTGAGATCCTATGAAAATACATAATTCGGAAACAAAGTCTACAATAATCTTACGTTGTTGCACAATTTGTACATGGAAATAATTCACTTGTATACTCGTCACCATCTCTACTATGCTGAACATTTTTAATCAACCAATTGTGTTTTATTTCGACCAACGGTTCAGCAATTGTTGGTTGATGTTGTTGTGGCTGCTGTTGAGAGCGTCCTTGTGCATGATTTGTTGTAGTTGGTAACATAGTAAGTAATAGTTAAAAAATTGCCACTAAACCAGATAAAAATAATATATCTGACGAGTTTTCACAAAACCAAGAAAGAGCAATCAATCCATAATATGCTATGTGGTTTTGTATAACTATCTAAGGATAAAATTAAATTAAGCATACTGAAACTTATAAATCGCTATTCAGATTGTCCAAAACTTTGATGCATCCATCAACCTTCGTCTTGCTACTATTAGTAAAGCTACGTGAAAAAGAATTTGACTAAAGTTGCAGGATTTCAATTACATGCCTCTAAGAAATTTCTTGTTTATGCTGGATAATAGTAGTCACAATAGAATAACTTCCATTAAAACAACACGTTTGCAAACAAGTGATAGCATATAATTACAAAATAACTGCAGGCAAGACAACTTAGTAGCTTTATACGAGAAATAAAGAAAAAATAGTGATCATTTCAATGTTTTTGGGATAAATGAAGAGAATAAAAATAAATAGAGAAAAGGAAGTAGTTCTGTAGAATACAAGGAAAAAGATAGGCCGTTTGAAAACCAATAAGTTTACAAAAACAGACACTTTGGTGTATATTTGTGGTAACTTCTAACGTTTGTTTACTTGAGTCAACCGGCAGCAATGAGTTAATATTGTCTATTTCTTAAGCGCCTCAAACGTAACGAACGCTAAGTTTCACTAGATTCAATGGGATTGTGCATATTCCGTAGTTTACCTTCATTATGTTACACCAATCCGAAATGTCAAGTTAAGATACGCCAGGCATACAAGTTAAGTACAAACGCTAGTGTCAACGTGCCGCCGCCTAATAGAAGAAAAATTTGAAATTTCACGTCGCCGCCGCCATAGACAGAACTTGTTTTTGAAGTTTTTTGCCCTCGCGGCTGATCCGAAACTCGTTGTCTGCTTTTAGCCGAAAATAAGTTGCCGAAAATAAGAGTCCAGAGAATACATGTTGGATCTTGCTTTCCCATTGGTGAATACCAAACAAAAGGGAAAGAAGTAAAAACGATGTCGCAGAAGTATGTTTCTTGCTCAGAGATCTAAGAAAAACGTGAGAGAAACTAATCGAATTTTATATAGTTAGATTCAAATTTTCATCTAGATCATGAATATAAACTTTATTTTGAATAACAAGGCTATGCTAATTGAAAAATCAAGTTTTTTGGTTTTGCCATTCTGAACCATATGTAAAAAGAAAAGGCAATTTTTTCTTTTCTTTCCGATACAGTGAGTGTCCACGTGATGTCATGTACTTGTTTTTATTCAATCTTTCCAAATATCCTCAGATTGCACAAAGTAGCCGCCAAAACATATGCTCAAAATGTTCGTGTATACTCAGAATTTTGAGCTCTATCCGAATCTCAACGCTCCAGGAGGCGGAAACGTATGCTCAGGGAGATATACGCGTTTTAATGAAATTTTGACAAAAATTAAAATTCATTTTTTAACTTAATGATGAAATATTAGAGTTTCGTTCAAAGTTCATTCAATAGAGCACATGAAACTCCCTATGCTCACAAAATTCTGAGCTCTCAAGTAATCTCCTTCATGATCTTTTTGTTGTTTTAACGAATTTTAGCAAAAACTCATTTTTTTTAGTTATTTTCAAGTAAAAAAAAGATTTCGTACCGTTTTCTCCGAGCTGAAAATTTGTAGTGGAATAAAATTTATAAGTTCAAAATGTTTGGTCTTTCCGAAGGCATTACTATTTAGAAAAAACATCATCAACAACCGATCATTAAGTAAGTCTGATAGCTTATGATTGTATCCAATAACTGCTAGTATACCCCTTATAGTTAACCGACTTCTGACTACAGTAAAACCTCTATTTGTGAACACTTCTGAAGTGAGCACCTCACTATAGCGAACGCTTTTGAAAAGTCCCGATGGTGTTCACAATAGAGAGGTTTTACTATAAATTAATAAGTTTCGGAAGATGTTATGAGATTTTTCCCCCTAATCTGAAAGTCAAAAGATATATGGCATAACTGCCGTTTCTTGAGTTCTCTAGAAATGGTTTGTTTGTGCACAGCTTTACACTTTGTGCAAATATTCATTGAAAACTAAAGTGACCGGATTTATTTTTTAAATATGATACTTAATAGAAAAACTATGAAAATCTGCTGTTTTCGCTATTTTATCAAGATTTGGCTGCATATTATTCTCTGAAGAAGATCTGGTCGAGTTTAACTGTTTATATTGTTTTTTAGAAAATTTTATTAGTCTTTAGATACATTGGACAGATGCACGGAGTGTCCAAATCTCCTGATTTCAGGAACTGATTTTTAAGATTTTCTCCTGATTTAAATTGTTTTCCTGCATCGACTTTGTTTTTTCGAAAACTGAGATTATCAGTTTCAGGAACAGAATTTCTGGATCAAGAGTCTAAATAATTGTATATTAAAAGAGATGCGCTTATCGAATGTTCTCTTCTAAACCCATCGGATCAAAAGCTTCTTTCCCAATTCGTACAGCAGTCTGTAATAAATGATAATACTGTTTCATCAAAAACCATTTCAAAAAAATTTTTTTTTAAAAACTATGTTATTGAAAAAGTTATTGGACTTTTTTGTTTTGCTTATTTAAGAAAAAACTGCATGATACTCTCTCCTGTTTTTCTCCCGATTTCGAAAAAAAATCTCCTGATTTCGAAAAACTGGATATATTAGGGGGCATCGAAACGCCTGGATATTGAATACAATGCATTCCAAACACTTTAGGTCGAAATCAACTTACAAATGTAGAGAAATCTATACATTTTCTACAGACCCTGTGAAGGAAGTGAGTTGTCTAAAGTGGAAAACCCTTATTTTCATCAGCAATGCCATCAAAAGTAACAGTTAACAAATAGCTAAAACGGTTATACTCATAGTTCACTTGCTGCTGAAGTGATTAGATTGATGTAAGAAAACGAATTTTTATGCCAATTGTATAACTCCTGTTTTATATACCAATATTGGTATAAAAAATCAGTGTTTTTGCCAACATTAGTGTAAAGTTTTTTTTTATATCCATTGGCATAAAATCGACACACTTATACCATTGGCATAAGTACAACTGGTATAACGCCACGATTTCCTTTCATTGAAATATTTTAAGGTACTCACTCTTCTGAATTTTGTTTATGTAACTGTTTTGAGCAGTCGTTCTTTATTTTAAAATCACGTACATTGTTAATTCGGTTTATTTTCTAATTTATAAAGAATCGACTTTGAAAATTGGATTTGATTTTAGAGCTTTTATGAAATCGTGAACGATTTTATAAAAAAAAACAAAATTGGTTGCGTATTGAGCGTAGTTACTAGAAATCACTACCCATTAACTTCAAAGCAGTCTTATTCGGTATACATGGAAGAAGACAAATTCGGAAAACACAAGTTTCCTCTGCTTGTTATCGAACTGACGGCATTAGTACTGTTACTTCTCACTCAACTCAAGACAAACTCGATGTTTAACCAGAGGAACTTGGTTCCTGAACTGCTGAATGTTTCCCCACAAGATTTCGAGTTTTGTTTTCCTGTCAAGCCGGATATTTCATTT